TTACTTATTACCTTTGCAACTTTTAGTTTTGAACCTCAGTCCTCCCATTTTATAGTTCAGCAAGCCTCTAGCAATTCAGTTTGCTGGGTAGACAGGTATCTTGAATTTGTCTCATTCAAACTGGGTTATTTCTTCCGGCCATGTGCATGTAAAATTATCCAACTTCTATGTACAAGTTAGGAATCTGGATCCATAAATTAATCATACATACATAAAAGAATCATTACACATAAAACTTAGAAAAGTTGGCCCATAATTTGGTTTCACAAGAAGCCATAGCATTAAAATATTTCTTAAACATTTAGCATTAGTATTTGTCACATAACTTGTAAAATAATTAACTATTTTTACATAATCAAATGAATTATTCTTTTCTAGTCACTACTCTTTGAGGAACTGTGGCTTTACAAGCATTTATGAAACAATTTCTCATTTTAAACTTTGAGGACCATGTTAAAAAAGGGCAAAACTCACTGTAACTTTGAGTGCCAATCAAACATTTGAGTGTCTACCATTAGCAATTACCATTATTGTGTGTACAAACTGAGCATCTGCAAACACAGTTGTGCACACATTTTTGAACAGAGACTCCCATTCTTAGAACTGGGCCCGTAAAGTTTATAATGTTAGTAATTCATCTAGGCCGTGTCCAGACTCAGGGGATTTTTCGGGAAAAGTAGCCTTTTCCCGAAAAAACTTCCCCTGCGTCCAGACTCAAGCCGCGTTCTTTCGAAATTATTTCGAAAGAACACGGCTTTTCTTTCGATGGCGGTAAACCTCGTTTCACGAGGAAGAACGCCTTCCTTCGAAAGTTCTTCTTTCGAAGGAAGGCGTTCTTCAATGTAAAGAGGCCGTCTTCGAAAGAGAGCATCCAGACTCACTGGGTGCTCTCTTTCAAAAAAGCGGATTTTTCTTTCGAAAGATCCGCGTGCAGTCTAGACGCGATCTTTCGAAAGATGCTCTTTCGAAAGATGCTTTCGAAAGAGCATCTTTCGAAAGAAGCCTGCAGTCTAGACATAGCCCTATAGTAGGTAGGGCTGGAGAGTGAGTTAGGAGAAAGAAGATGAAGGACACATGTTAGAAAGTCATTCATTCTAATTTATTTATATTACCATTGAGAGTTCCAAAATAATTAAGGTTTATCCACAGTGCTTTATTATTGTTCTCCAGGTCATTTTGTTCTTCCATCGGCCACTAAATATAATTACTCGCAGGAACAAAATCTCTATTTACACAGTAATTCAAAGAGCACTTTGCTTCACTTGAATTACTCTGAAGCCAGCTTTTGATGTCACTGAACATGGAGTGGGAGTAGACTATCAGGCATACAGTGAGGGCAGTGGGTATGTCTATGAAATTGTTATTCATGAATTAAATCCTAAAGATGGACCTAACATTTAACTTCATAATATTTTGTATATTCTTCTAAAGCCCATTCAAAATAAAGGATACATCATGAAGACAAATGCCTGATTGCTTTATTTAAAAAAAATCACTGCCAGTAGCCCAGCATTTCTCTGTCACAAGCCTTAAAATAGATCAGTTCATTAATAGCCACATATTATACCTACAGCATAAGATATAGGTGATGGATGTGATCACTGGGATCCCCTTGAGACTGTCACCAGATGTGCTGAAATACCACTGAGCCAACCTTCCTTGGTGCCACTTTCACCCTGGATATGTCTACACTGCAGGGGAGGGAGGGTTTGGAAAAATGGCCATTTTTCCAAAAAAAGTTCACTTACGTCCACACTGCAATCATGTTCTTTTGGAAAAAAAAAACAACGAAAGAACAGAGGGGTTTTTCCAACATTGGTAAATCGTCTTCTATGAGGAAGAACCCTTTTTCTAAAAGAGCTCTTTTGGAAAAAGGGGTATGTGGACAGGGAAGAGGGACTTCTTTCGAAAGAAGAGGAAAGAGGAAAAAGCACAGGTGCCCTGGTGGCCACTCCGTCCATAGTAATCACGGCTTAAATGTGAGATAGCATCCACACTGAATGGACTCTATCTTTCGAAAAAACAGATCGCTTTTTCGATGCGCTTTGGCAGTGTGGATGCTCTCTCTTGGAAGAAGTTTTTTCAGAAGATCTCTTCTGGAAAAGTTTCTTCCAAAAGAAGCCTGCAGTCTAGACATAGCCTCTTTCTTGCTGAGCCAGCCTCTCTGCCACCTCCTCTTCCAGCACTGACACAGAAGTGGGGTAACAGCCCTGTTCCTGGGTAGGCTCAGTCAAAGGAACTTGCCACAGCATACAGGTAAATCCATCTTATGGTGGTTAAATTTTCATACAGAGAAAACTCAAAGAAATGCAGAGTTGCTTCTCCCATCCCAGGTAACAATTATTTATACTGAGTTTATTAATTTAAAAAAGTGATTTTGTTAAATATCAAAAGTAAGATTTAAGTGATTGCAAGTAAGAGCACCCAGAGCAAAGTAAATTACAGATCAAAATAAAACAAGTCAGTTAAGCCTAATGCACTAAGAAATTTGTCACATGCAATTCCTTACTCTAACTGTAGTTCTAATCTTTTTTTCACAGTCTGAAAAGTTTCCTGTTTCTAGCAGCTATCTTGGGTTGAAAGCAGGGATAACCTCACATCTGGCAGTTGCCCCAGTTTTTGATTTCCACCTGTATACAGATTTTGCCCAAGGAGGACATCTTTGTGTTCAGTTGAAACTTTCTCACCTTCAATGAAAAGGTTCAAGGACCAAAATGGGTCCCAGTATTAAGTGACCTAAACACATGTCCTTGTGGGGACTCTCAGCCCCTCCTATAGATGAGGCTATAGGAAAAA